CCCCCCCCCCCCCCCCCCCTCATCCCCTTCTTGGTATAGTATGCTAAATGGGAAAACTGGCTGAAATCCCAAAATTCTTCTGCTGAACCACAAATGCTACAATCAAAAAGTCTTCTTGGACCAAAATGTTCGATGATACTTTTAGTTCTGTTGAATTTGTTACCAACCAGGTCAACCAATCCCTCTTGGCAGAGTCAGAGGTTATAGTTTTCATGGAATTAATGCTAATATGAAGATAATAAGGTTGTTAGTATTTAACATGATATCTTGAACAAATTTTAAAGAAAAGACTAGTTAATACAAAACTTGAAATATCATTTCAGACACAAGAAGCTGTGGACATTCTGTTTAACTATATTTACATCTGTAACAAATTAGAAGATGCACAAAAGCCGCAACAACTGTATGATGTTAATTTGTTCAACTGTATTCACCGGGCTCTGGCCAAAGAGGTAGGTTACCATGGTCACCAGGCTCTGGCCAAAGAGGTAAGTTACAGCCATGGTCACAGGGCTCTGGCCAAAGAGGGAGTTTACCATGGTCACCAGGCTCTGGCCAAAGAGGTAAGTTACCATGGTCACGGAGGTTAGTTACCATCATGGGATGTTTGCTACACTCCGGCCGAAGAGGTAGGTTACCATAGTGTCCAGTGACTAATCAGCTGATGCAAAACGTCTGTAAATCTATTGTAAACCTGTGTTATCCTTCAGGGTTTTATCAAGAAAGAACAACAGGAGAATACCAAGATAGGAAAGATTTACATGGAGACCTTTGAAAGAGTACAAGGAGAATAAGACCAGGTGTCCTGGAAGGGAAAGTAGTGTGTACTACTTTATCAATCAAACAATCAAATTTTGTATAAAGATTTAAATCATTTCATCATTTTCAACTACGTTTACCAAATGCAGCATATCATGCAAGGAAAGAAGGATTATGTTGTCATAGAAATATTATAATTAATGATCATTTAAATTTCCCAGTTAGTACTGGAAGTTTGGGAGTGAATCTGGAACCACAAAAAGATTCCTAAGTTATGGTTTGAAAAAGATCTTTATCTTATATTTGTTTAAATTTCATTACATAGTGTGTTTTAAGTTAAAGAAAGAAGTTGGTAACTTGGCTAGCATATAATATGAACAAAGTCTGTAAGTCAGGAGCATCTGTTAAAGCATCTCTGAAATAAATGATTGGAGTACTTTGGTTTTGACCTGTGGTAGCAGTATACAGTAGAGGGTTGTGGCCATGGGTGATATATTTTTGTTAAATGGCTAACCCCTGTATAATGATATGTAAAAAAAATATAAAAATAAAACTGTACTAAAATTGGTATAAGCATGATGAAGTGGGCTATGTGAGCTTCACATTTGTAAAAAAGAAAGAAGATTTTTTTGGTTCGAGAATAAAATTTTGGCCATAATCCGAAAGGGTGCGTACACATGAAAAGCTAGCTTTACAGGAGGTAAAATTTTGACAACAGCACACGACGCAAAATTGCAAAAAATCAAGTTTTACAACTTTACTGGGACCCAGACAATTCTGCAACCAGGTAGGTAATCTTTAATTTCAGACAGAGCTTAGGAAAAAAATTACTAGTTGCAGGGGTCAAATTTTGGGTTAAAAATAGCAATTTTTGGCATTTTTTGGTAATTTTTGATGTGGTAACCATGGTTTTCACACAAGTGACATACATAGAAAGAAGAAGTTTATACACTTCTCAGTACTTTATATGTATTGTAAATGTAATGCAGTTTACAAATATATATACATGTATACATGTGTTGTGTAGGGTCAATCCGCTGTGTTTACATTTCCTCGACATGTGCCTTGTTTATCAGAGTCGGGCCATTTCTACTGTATACTGCTACCTGTATAGAGTCAGCTGATAAAACATTATTGTACTTGAGTTCTAATTATGAATGTTATGTGATAAATATCTTACATTCATGTCCATGTTATACCATTGAATTAAAACTCGTGCAATAAATTCAATATGACATGGACACTCATGTAAGATCCTGTATTTATAGAATTATTCACGATATTGCATAACTATAAATTGTCACTTACAAAGTATAAATAATTTATGTGAAACATTGATGAATTTGACATTTGTTTCAGGGAAACTTAATGTGGATGGAAGCTGTACTGTCCTGGATGAAAGATCAGACAGTCACTCCTACCTTACAAACATACGCACACTTTCTCGAGTGCCTGGGACGTTATTCAGATCACCCAGGACGACATAGCAAGATAGAGTACATTGTTGACCAACTTCAACGAGAGGTGAGGCAGATGTGTGAGCTTCTCTGTTCGCACTCGTTAGCTTATGAGATGGTACAGCTGATACCTTCTCTGTCCCTTGTCAATTCTCATTTGTTTAAACCAATTCTTCTAAAGAACCATAAGGTATAGAGTCATGATATTTGGATTATAGCTTGCTAGTGGGAAGGAATGTAATCTGTTCAAACGGGAATCAAAACATGTTAAAACTAGTGTTGTGTCGATTATCGGGAATAATCGATTAACGGTTGGTTGGAGCCTACCAAATACGATGATCAATCATAGTCTTGTTTAATCGATCATCGGTAGATCCTGGTCGAACACGCCCAACAGTAACCAAAACGAACGCACCCAGCAATGGAAGCTATATCTGTAACCAATAGGCTTATGGTGGATTCTCTGAGTGATCTACGAGAAATCTATGCAAATCTAGCAAGTTTGTGTTCACTATAAAAAGTTTGCAGTAATGCCTGAAAACAAAAAAGTATTTTGAGATTAACTATATTGAATCAGTGTGTGACAAACTCTGTCTGAAAGCCAGACATGTCCGAAAAAAAATCACCTCGGACCGGCAAAATGTTTCAGATAACATAACTGCTCGATTGTCCAGTAATATTTCCAGCTAAATCTGGCAAAATGTCCTATAATTTGGTACTGTTATAAGGAAAGTTCTTGTCAATCCAGAGGTGTAAAAATTAAAATCCACATGCCCGAACCAGAGTGAAACCAGTTTTAGAGCTTGGGCAAGGTAAAAAATTTGGCTTACTTGTCGGCTTCCTCCGACTGAATGGGAATGAATAATTAACTAAATTGACTGTAGTTTAGTGAGATACAACTAAGCAATTATGAAACCAACAACAAGTTGTTGAAAACAAACATTTTTTTTCGTTTTGAAGAAAACATTGCGGTAGAATATTGACGATCTTTATTTCCATCATTTAAGACGATTTTTCGGAATTTGAGCTTGGTGAAAAAGAACTGAAATTCTGGCTAAAAAAGGCCAAAGGGACAAATAAAGTTTTTACTTACTTTCTTAGATAATTACATGTTTTAGTTACAACTGAGGGACATCCTTTTTGCCTGAAAAACGTCTCTGTTTATCAAAGAGGAGGTTGCAATGGCGTGACTAATAAGCGGACAGATCCAGGATTTCAGGAATTAAAAACTAAACAATCAACCCACACAAAATAAATAAATGAAAAATCCATCACTGTAATTTAAAAATAGATAATCCCTATTGCAATTACTGAAAAAAAATACCCTTAAAATATTTTCTGAAAAGGAACTGGATAGAAATGATGTCTGACAGTATGCTGGGATAAATCTGTTATCGTTTATATGAGACTGAATGATTGAATTATCTACAAAATGTCAACTAACTAAAATTGTTGTTTCAACATAAGTTCTTTTTATATATTTTTTTGGACCTTTTTTTTCCGCTAAAAAGGTATATTTACCTACCTAAATATCCTGTAATAATTCTATAAGTTTGGCACACACTGATATTGTAATCACCATTCAAACGAATGAATGATGTTCTCAGTTAAGAAACTGAGAGATGAGTTAATAATATTCACATTAATAGAGAAGGAATGAAACTTCAAGTCATGTAGTGTTCTATTTTATTTCTTCCTCGTTTTGAAAGAAAAAAATGATTATTATCGCAATGTCATCCGATTCCAACAGGTGATCAATTTGCATTTTCAACCGATTACCCAGCACTAGTTAAAACCTTCAACACAGCATCAATCCTTCTAGTACCAGTCTTATGCTCCTCTTTGTAGTGCTTTTGTTCTGTATTTTGACCATTTTCCTATCTTGGAATTAATTTTTGTCTCGCCGTGACGAAGTAGCGGAAGCAAGACCAAGGTATTGCTTTTCCGGCAACAGTGGAGGTGGCAGCGCAGCATCAACATTAAGTTTTTGCGTTTAACTTTGTTTCACTGAAAGTACAAGTGCAAGCTTAAGACCAACCAAACTTGGTACATATATGCATCTTAGGTAGTACTTATCAACCCATGCATCAAATGCTGGATGCGGCCTACCTTTCATGGTCCATCGACTTTGTCAGCATCTCCATCAACATTAAGTTTTTGCGAATTAATTTTTCAGGATTATGTAACTGTGGGACGAGCGACGCAGCCTTACCCGGCAATGACAACACAATAGTACACTCTATACAGTATATACATACTTATTTACACTTTATATACACATAATGTACAACACAGATTAATATAATACATACTCACTCACACTCACAACACACAAATAAATACAGTCTAAAGGAAATGTTCTGTCAATCCAGATCCTCTTCTGTAAGCTATCCTTAACTCCTCTGGAACTAGAAAAAAGTCTACCTCACACCAGCCATGAGTTAGGGTTGGCTATCCCATTGGACAGCGTCAAAACATGCAAGTGTTTACACACGTCCACCATCTAGAAGGGTGGCACAATCTACTGGCACTGTAGACAAATTGGGTGGTCTTACACAATAGACCATCGACTTCAGTGTAAGTCCTCTATGCAAAGAAACCGATTGCTATCTTAGGATATGTCGTCCACATTCGACCATCGACTGCAGTGTAAGTCGTCCTCTATGACAATAAACCGCTGGCTATCTTAGGATATGTCGTACCGCTGCTGTATCACACCCAAATGACCCTGTCATGGTCAGTTCTGTCTTGTGTGTCGGCTGGTCTGTTCAACAGATGATCCTCCAGATAATCCCAGGATAGAAAGCTGGCAAAAGATGGAAAATATGACAGATGACGAAAATCCATATAAATTCACGTAATTTGAATGTCACTTCACATATTTTAACTACACATTTATTTCACCTACGCGCTTCCATACTTTTATAATTCTCACAAACTGACATTTCGAATACCAAAAAAGGATATTGATATTTAGAATAATTACGTAACTAAGATCACAAAGAATACACTAAATGCTGATAACATAATAAGCGAATTGTTAGCAAACTAGCAATTAAGAATTTGTGCGGGTCCTCAGCATGCATCAACTAACATGTCACCTATGGGCCTCCGTACCTACAGATAATGCATACGCACAAATGATGTAATGTACAATAACATCTAGGTTTCTGATAATTTACACACAAGTAACACACAATATTTTTCTTCATACAACCAATATATACCGATTATTACAATTATAACACGTGTAAAATGTTGTTAAATATTTTTTATTATTGCAGGGCCTGGAAGTGGAAGACTTGTACAGAAACTGTACTTACATATCTGATGAATGGACTTGTGTCAGAAAGGTGTGTTTACATAATTAGTTTACCTGGTCCAAATTAAGGACCAAGCTGAGCTTATGCGATACCATGGCGATTGGAATTCAACTAGATTTGACTGGAAGCATCTCTAGGTGGTGGGGATTCGAATTGTACAAATGGAGGGGCTGACCAACCTGGTTGTAGCTAAGGGCCAAGCACAGGAAAATCGACTACAGATATTGCTTTAATCGACTTCTCAGAAATTAATGCATGGATATCACTCATATTTGGTTTGAAGCATCTGTAGGTAGTTGGGTTGGTTGAAGCATCTGTAGGTAGTTGGGTTGGTTTGAAGTTGGGATTCAATTGTTTTTTAAAATTGGGTTATTTGGCCACATAATTTTAATCAGCTTCTTCTCTGGAACTAAATGAAGGATATCAGCCATATTTGATCGACATCATCCCTTGATGTTTTGGATTCAAAACTGTATAAACTGAGGGAATGACACCCATGGAGCTAAAGGGCAGGGTCAACAAGTGGTAATTTGGCAATAATACTTCAAGCGACTTCTTCTCTTGAACAGATGGATATCAACCCTATTTGGTTGGAGGCATTCTCAGGTAGTTGGGATTCAAACTTATGCAGATGACGGGGCTGGCACCCTAGGGGCTGAAGGGCAGCTGGCTCATATTGATTTAAATCACCTCTTCTTTGGAGCTAAGAGATGGATACCAATCATATTTGATTTGAAGCATTGTCAGGTGGTAAATGGTTTAGATTCAAAATTTTACCAGTTAAAGGGCTGACCCCTGGCTAAGGGGTGAGGGAAAAAAGAGTTTTAACTTGGAAATGATTAAGATGTCCACCCTATAACCACATAGTTATACAATTGCTGAGTATAAAGAGACAAATACACATACAGTTCCAGGATTGCCCATGGTCTGGCCCCACCTATGGAGATTAGTCCATGAATCATGACTTGGAAATATTTCAGATCAACACTTAGTCCCTGAGACATATTAACATAAAGACGTTTGAAATCCCTACTCTGTGATTATACACAAATGCTACCAGGATTAGCTCTAGGGACTGGGATCTTATTTGCCATACAACTTTTAGGCCAACCAAAAAATATTTGGTGTATCACTCTCATATATTAACTAATAAAAATATTTGTTAAAATAAAATTTGTTACCTGCCTTCCAACCTACCCTTAATGTTACAGGAAAATATATTTTTTGTGGAGTTATGGCCCTTTGAATAATGAAAAACTTCATTATCTGCAGTTTCCGCTTTATAACTCTAGCAAATATTAGCCAAATTCCTTCCTTTAAACTTGATAACAATGTTTGTGTTCCTCTGTCTTTCCACCCATCTCGGGCACTCTTTGGTTTTCGTGTGACAATTGCTGTAGATAATGTTCAGATGTTTCAACCAAATTTTGTATGGACATCCGACTCATGCTAAGTTTGCCAACCGATGTGATTTGTGCATATTTACGGATAATCAATGAGGTATAGGGCTGGACTTTTTTTCTTCAAGTTTCAAGCTATACATTATGTATTAACAGCACGATACTCACATATTAAAACTAACCTCAATACTGTTAACCTACAATATGTCCTGCAAGCGGGGGATATAAATTCCACGAATTTGCTTGTTTTCATTTACTTTCTGATATCTGTAAGATTCTACTGGCAATTTTATGTTCTGACGAGCTCATGCTGAACTGTCAGTCTTCTGTGGCACATACTAATGTTAGGGGGTATTTTGAGTTAACATTTCCTTACAGATAAAGGTTGGGGGTATTTAGAGGTAACATTTCCTTACAGATAAAGGTTGGGGGTATTTAGAGGTAACATTTCCTTACAGATAAAGGTTGGGGGTATTTAGAGGTAACATTTCCTTACAGATAAAGGTTGGGGGTATTTAGAGGTAACATTTCCTTACAGATAAAGGTTGGGGGTATTTAGAGGTAACATTTCCTTACAGATAAAGGTTGGGGGTATTTAGAGGTAACATTTCCTTACAGATAAAGGTTGGGGGTATTTAGAGGTAACATTTCCTTACAGATAAAGGTTGGGGGTATTTAGAGGTAACATTTCCTTACAGATAAAGGTTGGGGGTATTTAGAGGTAACATTTCCTTACAGATAAAGGTTGGGGGTATTTAGAGGTAACATTTCCTTACAGATAAAGGTTGGGGGTATTTAGAGGTAACATTTCCTTACAGATAAAGGTTGGGGGTATTTAGAGGTAACATTTCCTTACAGATAAAGGTTGGGGGTATTTAGAGGTAACATTTCCTTACAGATAAAGGTTGGGGGTATTTAGAGGTAACATTTCCTTACAGATAAAGGTTGGGGGTATTTAGAGGTAACATTTCCTTACAGATAAAGGTTGGGGGTATTTAGAGGTAACATTTCCTTACAGATAAAGGTTGGGGGTATTTAGAGGTAACATTTCCTTACAGATAAAGGTTGGGGGTATTTAGAGGTAACATTTCCTTACAGATAAAGGT